CTTATGCTAAATATACTTCTACTAATATAATTATGCTAAATATACTTCTACTAAGTATAACTCTTTCTTTCTTTTCTTTTTTTTAAGGGGTATATGCCTTGGTCTATTCATTACGCCCCATCCATGTCTTTTATTTGGTTGACGTTAACAGCTTAGCTAGAGGTTTTGACACCCGAGGCGTTGGTCCAGCCCCCCCCCCCCCCCCCCCGTTTACCTCACAAATGACATTAAACATTCCTTGACCCGATTTTCGGGAGGGTTGGGTGGGGGGGGGGTGGTGGATTACGACGGTTGACCTAGCTCTACAGATTAAATTCTATGTGACATAATGACAGTGTTTTCTTCTTGAGTATGTATTTGTTCTCATTGCTTTGGCGTTGTCTTGTATCAACTCCTACATCTTATTCCTTAGATCAGCGTCCCCTAAACGGTGGTCTCGGGTGGTCTGCGAGCCATTCGTTGCCGGAAATAAATAGTTAGGTCAGATAAAAAGAAACCATTGTTAAGAAATATATGGAAGAGGTTCCCAATGCCATCTCAAAACGTGTGCATCGGTCAGCCAAAGCTAAACGTTTGAGAAACCCTGTCTGCGATATCATTGGTTGCTGGTCCGCTGGTGCCGAGATGGTGTGGCGTCACGCGGGGTGGGGTGTGGGGGTGGAGGTATATTTGGTGGTTCGGTAGGCCTGCCACAGTGGGTGGTTTGGTGGACCTGTCACAGTGGGTGGTTTGGTGGACCTGTCACAGTGGGTGGTTTGGTGGGTCTGTCACAGTGGTCGGTTAGGTGGACCTGTCCCAGTGGGTGGTTTGGTGGACCTGTCCCAGTGGGTGGTTTGGTGGACCTGTCACAGTGGGGGTTTTCTGGATCTGTCACAGTGGTGGTATGGTGGACCTGTCACAGTGGGGGTTTTCTGGATCTGTCACAATGGTGGTATGGTTTGCCCGTCACAGTAGTGGTTTGGATGTCCTGTCACAGTAGTTATTCGGTGGGCCTTTTCACAGTAGTGGTTTGGTGGGCCCGTCACAGCAGTGGTTCGGTGGACCTGCCACAGTAGTGGTTTGGTCGACCTGTCACAGTGGGTGGTTTGGTGGACTTGTCAGGGTGGTCGGTTTGGTGGACCTGTCACAGTAGTGGTTTGGTGGGCCTGTCACAGTAGTGGTTTGGTGGGGCTGTCACAGTAGCGGTTTGTTGGGCCTCTCACAGTAGTGGTTTGTTGGGCCTGTCACAGGAGCGGTTTGTTGGGCCTGTCACAATAGTGGTTTGTTGGGCCTGTCACAGGAGCGGTTTGTTGGGCCTGTCACAGTAGTGGTTTAGTGTTGTAACTAGGTACGTGTTGATTATAAATGTTATTTATGTCTATTTACCCCTGACCCCCAGCATGTTTATTTTAACTCCATAATTTGGGGTCATATACCCCAGTTCACCGATCCCTGGTATAGTGAATGAAGGCAGAAAAAGTCAATACATTTCAATAGTTTCAAAGGCGGGGTAACTGGTCGAATAATTTGACCTTAATCTGGGAGATAACTCAATGGCTGTACGTCTTACCTATACTTGAGATTTTTAAAGAATTTGGTGTTATATATATTTATATAACCAGCCTTCTTTCCCTGGCAGAGGGGGAGTTTCAACGTCATGAGACGGCCCTTGATACCTTTTGGAGAGCTGGGAAGCCCGCTCACAAGAGAGGTTTTGATAGCAAAGCCAACACCAGCTTCTCGCCTTGCGTCAGGGTCGCGTCCACTCCAGAAGAAAGAATAGCCAGCAAGCCTTTCCGTGAGTTCACCTTTGCCAGAGAGTCTGGTTTCACTGAGGGTGGCGATGTCTGTGTTGTATCTGGCAAGTTCATGGGCAATGAGCGCCGTGCGTCGTTGAGGTCTGTTAGAAGTGTCCCTGTCAAGCATTGTGCGGATGTTCCATGTGGCAATATTTAGTGAAATAGAGTTTGTCTTTGATTTTCGACCGCAAAAATTGGGGTCCTCGTCGACCATGTTTAGCAGACCAGAGTGTGAAGGAGCGGGCAATGTTTTGGGCACCTAATATAGCCCCTTCCTCGTGAATTTAGGAGAGCTTGCCCGTCGCCACGGGACTTGGGATGAGGGGTGTTGGATGACAGATGACTTGCACAGGTGATTTTCCTTTAAAGTGAGAAAGGGTTGCGCAGCGTCAACCTCACTCTCTTGCCCGGACCCACCGTGTCCAGTGGCAGGACTAGTCAAGCTGACCAGAGATGGGTACGGATGCAGTGGATGGCCAAGATGTTCTACGTGCCTCTACGCACTCCACGGTGCGTTGCTGTAATCGCCTTCACCCCCGTTGAACCTAAATGGTGTCCTCCACAGGGTCCGTCGACGTCCAGGCTTCGCATGCGGTAGGTAGGCAGTCCTAATTCACCGAGGGTTTGAGACCCGTCAGCTACCCTCACCTGGTTTACCCGGCTAGCAAAAGCCGTTGCCCAAGGTATGGCTGTTGTCGCATGCTAACAGCTACGGGGATACACATGTGAGAGTTGGGTGACAGGAGAGGACTAAGGTGGACAAACTGCTCCTAGGAGCACAACGTTTTCCCCCATCAGGCACTCCAGTATACTCCCATATAAAAAGGAAAAATACGTATCTGAAATAAAAATTCCGGCCAGAGTCTTTAGTATATTTTCCACAGAAATTTTTATTTCCTATAGCTAATTTTTGTTGAAATTAAGAATTCCTTCCTTTTGTGTAATAATGTTGTTGTATACCGCCATCTTGTATACCGCTTTCTAGAATGATAATGGAGATCTTGTTAACAAAATGATGTTGAAAGGAAAAATACGTATCTGAAACAAAGCTTCTGATCCTTCTTCTTCTTCTTCTATAGCTTAAGGGCCCACGATCAATTTATTGATCATTTTGGCTCCTATGCATGTAGATGGGATTTGCAATGTTTCTGTTCCTGGTGTTGATGAGGAAATTTCACGGATTTCCAGTGCCACTTTGTGAGGGAATCATGCACTAGGGGTTTGAAGGCTTGAGGCAATAGACACAAATGTGTCTAGTGTTGTCGCTTCAACCGTTCCTTTTGAAAGATTGTTCCAGTCCCTGATTGCCTTGGGCAGGAATGAGCAGCTCCTATACTGGCTTCTTGCTGGTATGAGCCTGAATTGAGAGGGACGAGTTTCTGTTTAATCCTGTCCAGAATCTTAAGCATATTTTCCACAGAAAGGACTATTTCCTACAATCTATTTTTGTTGAAATCCATATTTCCTCCTCTTTGTGCTCTTGCTGTTTTGCTTTTATTCTGCCATCTTGTTGTATACATTTCTTTCTTACCAGATTATATTACAAATAATTTTATGTTTGAAAGAAAGTATGGTTCAATAATGACTTCACTAGCGCGCAAAATATAATTGGCGATAACCACGGTAAATGATATATCTATAGATCTATATATCTATATATACATATTATTAACGCAACTGCATTTGATGAGTACTATTTTCTTTTCGGAAAATGAAATCGTCTCAGTTTGAGTAAGGCGTAAAAAAATATTCGTCTTAAAACTGATTGGGACATCAGAATATGTAATATGGTTCATGGGCGTGAAATAAAAAAGTATGCAGTGACGTATCAATGGGGGAAGGGGTGTCGCAAAAATTGGGATTTTTAAATGTGCGTTACTTGAGTTCATGTTTTGTCCAGTAACTCGAGTAGATGGGAAGGTCACGCACTGCCGTCACCAATGTTTGGCGGGCTAAAGCTAGTCCAAATATTTATTAACTAAACAACCCCTACAAGCAAAGTGTTTCCTATCAATGCTGTCTAGGCGTTCTTCATCATTTTATTCCGTATTCATATTCTAATGAACCACCACCCGCTTCTACACAGCAGATTGATTTTAGCAACTATTTCAGAAATTAACAAATTGCGCACCAAACACACTTGCGATATTCGTTTAAAAATAATATCATTTAGCGCAGTTATCGGGAATTTTATTCTGTGAAATCAGTGACATCATATTTCCTTCATCCCTCCCCTTGGAAAGCGGGGAAAAACTGATTTTTGGAGGTTAGGGGTTGACGGGAAGTGGATCAATTAGCCGTCCGAAGATTTTGCCACACAGCAAACACAGAAAGACACGAACACAAGCCAAGTTAATGGAAAGGATTTCATTAAATATAAGACGTGCTTGGTTCACAGAAACAATTGTCTTAGGTCTCACAACTTAAGGTCTCACCACTAAAAGTCTCACCACTAAAGTTCTCACCACTAAAGTTCTCACCACTAAAGTTCTCACCACTAAAAGTCTCACAACTAAATGTTCACCACTAAAGTCTCACCACTAATAGAAATATAACTGAATTATGAACTATGTCTTAGGTCTCACCACTGAAGGTCTCACCATTATAGGTCTCACCATTATTGGTCTCACCACTAAAGATCTCACCATTATAGGTCTCACCACTAAAGGTCTCACCACTAATAGAAATACTACTGAGTTAATGAACTATGTCTGAGGTCTCACCACTAAAAGTCTCACAACTAAAGGTCTCACCACTAAAAGTCTCACAACTAAAGGTCTCACCACTAAAAGTCTCACACTAAAGGTCTAATACTATTAAATTAATTAACTATGTCTTAGGTCTCACCACTAAAGGCCTCGCCACGAATAGAAATACTACTGAATTAATGAACTCTGACTGAGGTCTCACCACTAAATGTCCTACCACTAATAGAAATACTACTAAAGTAATTAACTATGTCTTAGGTCTCAAAACTAAAGACCTCACCACTAAAGGTGTCACCACCAAAGGTCTCACCACTAAAGGTCTCACCACCGACAAAATGAATAAACTTGCTTCCTCGTTTTTGTATCTCTCGCAGGGCAGGAGGGGGCGTTCAAAAAGATTAAAGCCGAGGGCGCCAGTCCTGTCTTGTCCATGTCCTCTGCCACGTCGCTGAGCGGCACATCACCTGGCTCAGCATCCGGCCACACGCCAGGGGCTGGGACATGTCCCACACCGGCGAGAAGGCGGCACCGGACGACGTTCACACAGGTATAGTCTTTTGGGGAGTTTCCCTAACATTTCTAATCAGGCTAGTGGCGCCTGGGGCGGGCAAAGATTTCTGCCACACCTCTACGAATTCACTCTACAATTGACCAAAAATGTCTCCCCGAATTCTATGTATACAGACAAATTGCGCCCCCCCCCCCCCACCAAGCTTTCCATAGTGCCAATCATAATAAAAACAAAATTTGAGATAAGAATGCTCTTGGACTGTGAATGGAATACTCAACATACCCTTCCTCTACGAATTCACTCTACAATTGACCAAAAATGTCTCCCCGAATTCTATGTATACAGACAAATTGCGCCCCCCCCCCCACCAAGCTTTCCATAGTGCCAATCATAATAAAAACAAAATTTGAGATAAGAATGCTCTTGGACTGTGAATGGAATACTCAACATACCCTCTCTCTCTCTTCCTCCCTTCTTTCCTCCCCGCTCTCCCACAACCCTCTCTTTCCCTCACTCCCTCTTCACCCCCTCCATCCGCCCCCTCTCTCTCTCTTCCCCTTTCTCACTCCCTCTCTCTATCCTTCCCTCCTTCTCCACCCCTCCCTCTACCTCGCTCCCCCGCCCCCCTCTCTCTACTTGAACATGCACATCATTTAACGGCACATGTTCATCTGAACTAACCTTGCCATGGTCCCCAGGAACAACTGAGAGAGCTAGAAGCAGCCTTCGCCAAGTCCCACTACCCAGACATCTACTGCAGGGAGGAGCTCGCTAGGATAACTAAGCTCAATGAGGCCAGGATACAGGTCAGTGGTCAGTTGTCAGTCCCATGTCAGTTGTCAGTCTCATGTCAGTTGTCAGTCTCATGTCAGTTGTCAGTCTCATGTCAGCTGTCAGTTGCCCCTACTAAAAAGAGACATTTTATTCGGCAATATGCTATAAACAAGCAAACCAAGAATCGAAGGACACATTTTCACTTATCCTCAATTCTATCCTAGATTTTAGGGTTACCGGAAATGTTTTTCAAAGAAGAAATTTAGTCGACGGAAAATGGATCGACGGGAATTTGATCGAACGGAAATTTGGTCGAATCTTTTTTTTCAGTTCACACGTTAAAATGTTGCGTCTAATTTCTTTTTGAACGCACTAAACAAAATAATGCGAAATTTCTTCAAACAAATTTCTGGATACGAAATTTTAGGACTGTGGATGGATAACTCACCATACTCTCTCTCCCTTCCTCCTTGTCCCTCTCTCCCCCTACATCCACCCCTCTCGCTCTTGCCCCCTCTCGCTCTTGCCCCCTCTCACTCTTGCCCCCTCTCGCTCTTGTCCCCTTCTCACTCCCTCCCTCTCGCTCCTTCCCCCAATCTCCAAAAAACGATTCGACCAAATATCCTTGCGATCAAATTTCCGTCGATCGATTTTTCCGTCGACGAAATGTCTTTCAAACAAAGTTCCGGACACGAGATTTTAGGACACCCCCCATTCCCCTTTTCCCCTTAAAAGTAAGTTTGTCTGTTGGCTGACAAGAGACGAATATCTTTCAAAATGCAGTTTTTTAAATATTTTATTTGGAGAAGATTAACATTACGCAGTTGACACCCAACAAAACTTTGTGTCCATGAACTCTATTTGAGGCAATACCATTCTTGGGAGCGTGTTACGCTTTTTGCTTGCAGCTATATTTAGCACAGGCGGAGGTGAATAGGTCAGGGAAACGATACGAACTTTAGGGGACCACATCTTATCTCCCTTTGTTGATGCTGTTTTGTTAGCTCCCCCAAATACTACACATGATTTCAGAGAAATTAAAGGGGAAAAAATAAAAAAAAAAAGATTTTAAATAAAAAAAAAAAAAAAACAAAAAAAAACCTGCCAAATTAAATGAAAGTTTTTTTTTTTTTAAAAAAAGGAAAGTAAATTTTAAAAATATTTAAAGTTACCTGGAGAATGTTTAGTTTTGTAGAAAGTGTGTTGGAAATGTGGAAAGTGTGTTGGAAATGTGGAAAGTGTGTTGGAAATGTGGAAAGTGTGTTGGAAATGTGGAAAGTGTGTTGGAAATGTGGAAAGTGTTTTGGAAATGTGGAAAGTGTGTTGGAAATGTGGAAAGTTGGAAATGTGGAAAGTGTGTTGAAATGTGGAAAGTGTGCTGGTAATGTGGGAAGTGTGTGGGTAATGGGGAGAATGGTGTTATCTTCTTCAGAATTTAAACCCAAATGTGGTTCTTGGTATTAGTGTAGCTCAGCGGTTCTCAACCTGTGGGTCGCGACCCCTTTGGGGGTCGCACGACCCTTTCCCAGGGGGTCGCCTAAGACCATCTGAAAACACATCTGCTTTTCAGTTATAAAGTAGCAACGAAAATAATTTTGTGGCCGGGGGTCACCACAACATGAGGACCTGTATTAAAGGGTCGGGGCATTAGGAAGGTTGACAACCACTGGTGTAGCTGTTCTCAATTACGGTTAGGATAAGTGGGACAGACCTCAAGGGTTTGCCCGTCACTGCACCCCAAACATCTTTGGTTCACCCCCGGCCGATTCATTTCTGTCCAGTACATTGCGCCCGATTAGGCGCAGTGTGTGTTTTTGAGAGATTAATTAATTAGTGAGCGCTCTTGCCACTCTGGCCTTGATGACGTATTTAGATGCTTATTATGACGTATTGTCTAGGCTGTCGTGTGACGCACGTTCGGCAGTTCTAGTCGTCTGGCAGTCTTGAATGGAACTTTGTGAAAGGAGGTTGTGTTTTATTTCTTTCTGATAAGTCGTCTGGCAGTCTTGAATGGAACTTTGTGAAAGGAGGTTGTGTTTTATTTCTTTCTGATAGCGAGCTGCTCTATACATGTGTATATGGAATCAAGAGTCTGTGAATTTACACTATATATTCAAGTTACATTTTTAATGGAAAAGGGACTTGGAGTTGATTCAGTGCTAGTACGATCTATCACAACGTATTAAAGAACTTGATAAGTTACCCTATCTATAGTACACACAAGATTTTGACAACTTCCATTTGATTTAAAAAGAGCCCGGTCGTTCAAACTCTCTAAATTGTCACCCCCTGCCCGCCACCCCGCACCCTACCCCCCTCAGCCCCGGGTAGCTCGTAATACGACATCATTAGACACAAATCAAAGTCTAAAATGACCCACTGGAACAAAACCTCAAAACTGCAAGTCGGCGAAAATGACTTGTATTTGTTTGTTGTTTGGCACGCGCGACTTCTCCGTACTAATTAGCGACCACCAGCAAATCCATGGAGAACATGCCCGTTAGTGTGGCCCTCATGAAAGACAAAATCCACCCTTTCTACACTAATCTCGAGCCCTCCCCGAAAACCACGCCCATCTCATTATCGGCAATGTATTCATTCGCCCGTTAGATCCTGCGCCGCCATCTGTGTTGCTAAAAACCCGGGGACCCTTCCATCCCCCACGATCCCCCCCCCCCTTCCGCTCCACATCCCACCCTAAACTTTTTCTTTTTGTTAAACACAGAGGACAAAGTAGGAAACATGGCCAGATTTTTTCCCCACCCCAGACCAGAAGCCTCGCCATCTGTGTTGCTAAAAACCCGGGGACCCTTCCATCCCCCACGATCCCCCCCCCCCCTTCCGCTCCACATCCCACCCTAAACTTTTTCTTTTTGTTAAACACAGAGGACAAAGTAGGAAACATGGCCAGATTTTTTCCCCACCCCAGACCAGAAGCCGAGGAGAACTAAAAGCACAAACCTAGCGGCAGGGAAAGTGGCCGAGCGCAGCAGGAGGGTGATTGCCGGAGAGGGAGAGAGAGTGTGGGGTGGGGAGGGGGAGGGGGAAGGGGCTGGTTTAGTCGATGCACGCCCGGGTGTTGGGGGGGGGGGGTATAATTAAAAGGTTCCAATTTATCCAAGCAAAGATCGCCCTTCGGCAGACGTGTGGATTTTCACGGGCATCATCACGACTGAATGGAAATACTGGGTTAAATATTTCTATTATCTTAGGTCCGTTCTAATTCAAATATGGCGTTATTTCTGATCACTATGATATTCCTTCTGATAAATATGGCATTGCTTCTGATAAATATGGCATTGTTTCTGATAAATATGGCACTGCTTCTGATAAATATGGCCTTTTTCGGATAAATATGGCATTGTTTCTGATAAATATGGCATTGCTTCTGATAAATATGGCCCTTTCGGATAAATATGGCATTGTTTCTGATAAATATGGCATTGCGTCTGATAAATATGGCATTGTTTCTGATAAATTTGGCATTGCTTCTGATAAATATGGCATTGCTTCTAATAAATATGGCATTGCTTCTGATAACTATGGCATCGCTTCTGATAAATATGGTATTGCTTCTGATAAATATGGCATTGTTTCTGATAAATATGGCCTTTTTCTGATAAATATGGCATTGTTTCTGATGGATATGACATTGTTTCTGATAAATATGGCAATGTTAGAAATTTATTTAGAGAAGAAAAAATAATCAGCAGCGACTTTGTAAAAAGATGACGTCATATCTTCCTCTTATAACTCCACTCTCAACACGTCATATCTTCCTCTTATAACTCCACTCTCAACACGTCATATCTTCCTCTTATAACTCCACTCTCAACACGTCATATCTTCCTCTTATAACTCACTCTCAACGCGTCTTATCTTCCTCTTATAACTCCACTCTTAACACGTCATATCTTCTTTTTATAACTCCACTCTCAACACGTCATATCTTTCTCTTATAACTCCACTCTCAACACGTCATATCTTCCTCTTATAACTCCACTCTCAACACGTCATATCTTCTTCTTATAACTCCACTCTCAACACGTCATATCTTCTTCTTATAACTCTACTCTCAACACGTCATATCTTCCTCTTATAACTCCACTCTTACCACGTCATATCTTCTTTTTATAACTCCACTCTCAACACGTCATATCTTCCTCTTATAACTCCACTCTCAACACGTCATATCTTCCTCTTATAACTCACTCTCAACACGTCATATCTTCTTCTTATAACTCCACTCTCAACACGTCATATCTTCTTCTTATAACTCTACTCTCAACACGTCATATCTTCCTCTTATAACTCACTCTCAACACGTCATATCTTCCTCTTATAACTCACTCTCAACACGTCATATCTTCCTCTTATAAGTCATGTCTCTAAAAAAACAATGAAATGAAACAATTATTCGAAAACCTGGAGGATTCTATAAAAGGAGGGGAATAAAGCAATGTCACCATGCTATAATGTTATAAGTATACTTTTAGTCGACCATCTCTTGTCATGCCATTTCATTGGCACGATGCATTTTACCAAATGAACCATCTTTACATCACCAAAACGTCTTCATATCATCGAGACATCTTCACATCACCAAAACTTCTTAACATCATCAAAATATCTTCACATCATCAAAACATCTTCACATCACCAAAAGTCTTCACATCACCAAAACATCTTCACATCACCAAACTTCTTAACATCATCAAAACATCTTCACATCATCAAAACATCTTTACATCACCAAAACGTCTTTTCATCACGAGACATCTTCACATCACAAAAATGACTTCACATCACCAAAACATCTCCACATCACCAAAACATCTCCACATCACCAAAACATCTCCACATCACCAAAACGTCTTCACATCACCAAAACATCTTCACATCACCAAACCATCTTCAAATCATCAAAACGTATTGACATCACCAAAACGTCTTTTCATCACGAGACATCTTCACATCACAAAAATGACTTCACATCACCAAAACATCTCCACATCACCAAAACATCTTGACGTCC